GGTCCGCAGCTGCCCCGCGGAGGGACCGCGCTGGAGCCCCGGTGCGCTGCCGAGCGGGAGGCTGCGGAGCCCTGCGGCTGCCGGCCCCCAGCATCTCTTACCCGCACTGCTGAACGAGCCGTGACGGCCGCGGGTCTCCCTCCCCGTGCTGTGAGCTGGGCAGCGGCCGCTGGCTTGGAGAGCTCTTCCCCGGTAACTTTGGATGCCAGAGGGAACGGCACGATTTCTTTGCAAGAGATGTTTGCAGAGCAGGGGTTGCTGTGTTGGGGCTTTTTTTGTTTGTTTGTTTCTTTGTGGGTTTTCTTTTTGTTTGTTTTGTTTGCTTGTTATCTTTTCTTTCTCTGATGTGATCACCCGTTGCTACGTGATGGAGAATTACTGCCAAATAAAAACTATAATAAATTGCAGCCGTAGTGTGTTGTGCTGGTGCTGAAACGGTTAAATTTTTGGTGGTACCTTTTTTTTTTTTTTCCAGGACCATTATAAATGTTCTTGTTTAACAAGCCGCCGCATACACCACCTGCTTTTCTGTAGAAAGTGTTACAAAGTAAAGGCCCTTGAATCCAACCTTAATGACAGAAGCAGGTAATCCTTCTAGAGGGAGACTATCAAACTTCCTTAATGAGTAGTTCCACTTCATTACTGAAATACAGGCCTGGAAGCTACCGTTTTGTGTTCAGCTAGCATTCCATGTATTACTGTATGAATTAACTTATTAGGCATCTTTTTAGTAATTCACTGAAATTTGGTGTTAAATTCTCCTTGGAGAAAGGGGAAAAGCTAGAATTAAAACTGTTTTGATAGACCTGACAAAAGTTGCTTCAAGTTACAGCCTTAAGTCACACATCTAAATATCTTCGACAGTGCAGAAATGCTGTGTTTAAAGTTATAAATAGCTTTATAGCTAAAGCTATATGGAATAGGTTCAAATTAGGAATCCTCCTGAAGAGTTGGTGTATTAGGCTATGATTAACCACTTTCAGAGGTAGGGTTACATTTAACTGAAAATAATTGTGGTGCTGCTAGAACTGATGTCTTTTATAAATGTCACCATGACGTGAAGATTTTAGGAAGCTATTACCATAAAGTGAATTAGTCTGATTTTGTGTATGTGAGGTGTGAGGTAATTGCAGAGTCTTTTATTTTCTGTATTCCTGGTTGTCATTTATTTGCAGAATTACTGCAAATACCAAAGGGAAGTATTTTTCACTTTGACACTCAAAAAAGATCATTGCTTTTTCAGTGCGACTCTCGGCAAGGTATAGACTGTGTAAATCACTTTAGAAATGTGTTGAAATGTTTGTGTGTCTGTGTGCTTTAAGCTGATTGTAATAACCAGCATATGGAAAATGTCCCTATGAAAAAGGAGAGGGAGGGAGCTTGCATCTTAATGACTGATTAATAGCATTTCAGAGCACTAAAAAAACCCCTCACTTTGTTTTAAGCAATGAAATTGTAAAGATTTATGTATATCTGCTTATATGTGAATGGTGCATAATAATTTGTCTGTTTACAAATAAATACCTAGTCGTGATTGCAGATAATTTTCTAATAATATGAAGAAGAAATATTAATCTGTACAAAAACTATATTAATTCTATTACTTTTCAAAATTCTTAATTTGTTTCTTAGATTTAAATCCCCTCCTTGTTATGTGTAACAAGCTGTGGAATTTCTTTTTTTTTTTTTTCTTTTTTTTAGTAATATTGCTGGACTCTAAAGCACAACAGACAGAGTTGGAATGGATTTCCTCTCCTCCCAATGGGGTAAGTACTGCAGGCAAAACTTAAGTTCCTAAAGATGAGTAGTTATTTTATCGAAGCAGTT